CGGTTGTACGTGACAAGGAGTAGGGTCGCCTGTCCAACCTCGTGGGTTTTCTCCGGATCCTCCGGTTTCCTCCCACTGTTAAAGACCCCTATGCGTAAGAGAATTATTGAAATAAAATTGAACCATATGTTAGTCCCGAAATTACCTAGTTTGTGTCGAGTGGACGTTAAACCCCATTTCTCTCTCTCTCCCTTGTCGGGTGAGGTTTTAAGATGGTTGAGAGAGAGAAAGAGAGAGAGAGAGGGGGGAAAATTTATTTCATTAATTCGCTTGCGTGTAGGGGTATTTAGTAGTGGGAGGAAACCGGACGGCCCGGAGAAAATCCACGAGGTTAAACAAGCGACCCTACTCCTTGTCACGTACATCCGGGAATTCGAAACCACGCCAGTTGACTCAATGACAGGCCTTATGGTACGTGCTAACCATTCGGCCATCCAACCCCCCTGACAAGAACGAACCGGTCGACATATTGATAATGGCGCCGTGATGTACTTTACATGTATGTTAGCAGTTTAATCTCTACTTGACCCGATATTTTATATGACATATTTAGGTTTATATATTTATTTATTTATTTACCTTCAGTTTATGAGTACTTGATCTTTAACAGAAACTCCGTGACACTTAACTTTTGTGGACATAAAAACTGTTAACACACCCACCCTAATCTGGGCGTAAATCAATTCGAATCAAGCTGATTACATCCCCATCTCTGATTATATTCCATATCCCCAATACAATAATTCGACAGTTATTCCATATCACCGATACAATAATTCGACAGTTATTCCATATCACCAATACAATAATTCGACAGTTATTCCATTTATTTACCTTCAGTTTATGAGTACTTGATCTTTAACAGAAACTCCGTGACACTTAACTTTTGTGGACATAAAAACTGTTAACACACCCACCCTAATCTGGGCGTAAATCAATTCGAATCAAGCTGATTACATCCCCATCTCTGATTATATTCCATATCCCTAATACAATAATTCGACAGTTATTCCATATCACCGATACAATAATTCGACAGTTATTCCATATCACCAATACAATAATTCGACAGTTATTCCATATTCCCAATACAATAATTCGACAGTTATTCCATATCCCCAATACAATAATTCTGCATCGCTGAATCTATACAAATCAGTCATATAATTTTGATACAAGGTTTCGAAGTCTCGAATACCGATAGACGAGGGGACCCCAAATTAGATCGATCGGCTCCTGTCATATCTAGCTATAGAATCCCAATCAGTTATTTCTTTTCAAATATATATAATTTTTAATCTTACTTCCTAAGGAATTTCTTATCCTAAAATGAAATGGAAAACTTAGCAACGTGTGCTATGATGGAAAATTTGATCGGATAGTGGCTACGGCAGGGGGAACCACGCCGAAAAATCTAAAGGAACTCTCTCGTCCTATTTATAGATATCATCTCTCTTTAAATTTAGCTGTTTTATTAATTCTTTTGACAAAACTCAAAGGAATTTTTATGATGAATATTCGTGATTTTGAGGCGTAAGGAGATGAGCATGTATGCAGCCATGTGATTCTACATTTCGGATATTTCTTGATTGTCCTTTAATATGTGCAGTAAATATATATCTGTTACATACAACTTTTCAATCGGATTAAAATACAGATCTATATTTCGTTTCGTTTTTTTTATACTTTCGATGGCCTGCACTGTAGTGATAGGTCGCGGCAGAGGTCATACGAATGGCTTTTTACCCTATGACGTCAGATATTGATTGATCATCCAGCGTTGACGTTTCAAGTGGTTTACCCACATTTCGTGCACAGTACGCCAAGAACTTGTCGTAACAGGCGACTTCTTTGGCTAATTCCCCACATTAACCAGAACGCGGCTTATGTAATAACTCTTCCAGATCCTAGTGTAGTGAAGACAAGTAAAACGAAATTTTGAACTATAAAAAATGAAACGAAATAGGATCTGTGTTTTAATCAGATTGACAACTTTTATTTCAGTTGTTCACCTGTGTATACGTTTGTTTTTCTTCAGGTTAGACGAGGATCAAAGTGCTCGTAGGAAAGCTGTCAAAGCGTTTGAGATAGATGCTGACTACTATGAATTTGAAGGTAGAATTTTATGGCTAGAACGCTAGACCATCCCTAGTTGTTGACATATTTAGTTTCGGATATTTTGTTTTTCGGAAATTATAGTTATTGTGTTGCTAGGGATACATGGATTGGCGGTTTATCCCTAATTGTTAATGTATTTCGTTTCGGATATTTTGTTTTGCGGAAATTATAGTTAGTCTAGCGCTAGACAAGGATTGGCGGTAATGCAGTGGGTGTATAAAGATTTAGGTCTAAATATTGAGGCCACCTGCAGATTTCGTCATGGTCACGAGATGTAAACATAGCTAGCGCTAACCCTAACGATAACCCTAGACCTAGCCCTATCTCTTACCTTAACCAACAATCACGTGCCCTAACACTATTTACATCTCGCAACCTTGACGAAATCGGCAGGTGGCCTTAATATTTAAAACTGACCGGTGTAAACTCTTGGCGATGTGTGAGGTTCCACTAACTGGGTTATGATATTGTTACAGGTGACCGCGACTACCCTTGTAGTTGCTGGGTTATAATAGTGTGACAGGTGACCGCGACTACCCTTGTAGTTGCTGGGTTATAATAGTGTGACAGGTGACCGCGACTACCCTTGTATTTGTCTTTAATAGGATCTAAGATATGTCATTTGTCAGAGGACTAGCTTGCAACGTCACCTTTTGGTCCATGCACAGAAAGCACCAGTTGCTTTTGAAATTCCCCAAGCGTTCGAAACGGCAGTATATTTAGTTAGCATGGCTCTTTTACGAATTTGTTTACATATTCAGGCACCTGGAAACGGCTGTCTGATAAAACTCCACAAAGTCGCAATATGTAATGGAAATAAATTTACATGTATATATTTGAATTATTTTAAACTGTATTTTAAAATGGATTTACTTATTAACGTTATTAGACACGCGTTATTTTTATCTGATGCCCGAAAGTAGTGGTGGTGGGGTATTTCACCGAGTATTGATAGTAGAGTTAAATATTGCGAATAAAATATTATTTTAGTTGAATAAATGAAGTTAGTTGTTGAAGCCTAATGCTTGGGGTGGTGGGGCATAGCCCAATAGCAACCCACTCACTAGGTACGCTATTATGGACGGCTACCCCCCCCCCCCCATCATCCGCGTATTTCCATACAGGCTTCCACCGCGCTGTTTCAAACTTGATGGCCGCCATGTTTAATTTATTTCGGGACTTCTACTGAGTGTATGTTTATTTACGTTTATATTTTTGTTCTAGCTCACATTTTCTTTGATGATGCTTTTGAATCTCATGGTGATGAAGAATTTGATTATGAAGTAAATGAGTTCGTGACGATGCTCACACGAGTCATATATGTAGCTGCTGAGTAAGTTAAACAGGCGCATGCTCAGAGGAGTCAGGACCCTCCCGTGCTCGACAGAGCATTTTGTTTTCTCCTACTATCGTCCGAGGCAATTCAGTCCTATACGCATGTTTGAACCGAAATGATCAGAAATATTGTACAAGAGCTTTTGATTTGTTCCAATTCGCTATGTCTCCAGCGTGCAACATCCGCCCCATTAGCTTCTCAAATCTCTAGACACATCCATGTTACATCATATACCTATATCATTACATATTTCCACATTTTAATGTCTTCAGGTCAGAAATACTATCCCATCTTTATCCATCTTCTTTGTACAATTGACTACACTTTACAATTGTTTGAAATGATTTAACTGTTTCTTGGTTGGAATATGTAAACTCATTCTCTCTGGAATAAATAAGAATAAGTACCAGCGATATTTTGTATTGCTTTATTTCAGTACACAGCATAGAACTACCATGAACATCCCACCACCAACTAAGATACCAACACCTTATGGTGGGAGGTTGATCTGGACATTACCAGGAGGAAATACTTTAACCGCACATCTAAAGGATAAAACGAAGATACGACATCGTAAAAGATGGAGTCAGGTTAGTGAATTGGGAATGGTAGGCTACAGGGTTTATGGTCTTTACATAAACTGTAGGTAGTCGAATTTTAATTTTAATGATTCTTTATCGGTGTGAGGGTACAAGAGAACCCGGAGAAAATCCATGAGTCTGGGTAGGCCACCCTACTGCTTATTACATACAAACGAGACATTGATACCACAAAACTTGAATCGATGAGCACTCTGATTACAATACAAATCTATATTTCGTTTCGTTTTTTATACTTTCGATGGCCTACACAACATGATGGTCTGACAGGCCGCGTCAGGGGTCATACGAGCGACTGTTGACCCTATGACGTCAGACATTGATTAATCAATCAGTGTTGACGTTTCTAGTGGTTTACCCACAGTTCCGTGCACCACATGCCAAGAACTCACCGAACAGACCGTTTCATTGGCTAATCCCTCACATCATCCAGAATGCGGAATATATAACAACTCTTCCAGATCCTAGTAAAGACAAGTAAAACGAAATTTTGAACTATAAAAAAATGAAACGAAATAGGATCTGTGTTTTAATCAGATTGATCGATGAGAAACCTTACGATCTTACTTAACAGTGCTGGATTTAGATTAAGAGAGGTCCTAGGTTATTGCACTGATGGTGACCCTTACAACCACGCAGAAAGATGAAAGCGTGTTTTAAACACAATTAATCAAAACCGAGGACGTTAAAGGACAATATTGGAATGTGTTTAACCAGCTCTAACACATATGTGATAATGACTTGCACCAATATTGTCCTTTATAGTGTGTTCAAGATTGTGTGTAAAAAAGGGGGACATAGGACAATGTAAGCAATATCATAAACCATGGTTGGAGTCCCCCTACATCTTGAGGTACTAGCTTGCAACCTGCCAATTTTAGGCTAGTCGTGCACTCTATCTAAAGCGCATGCGTTAAACGATGTATAGCTGTTCGTTGTTATTTTGTCAGGTTATGTATCTTTACTATTTCCTGGCCAATCAACTCATGTCCTTACCTATAACACTAGAGAGGAAGAAGAAACGAGCCGAAAATACATTCTTGTTAGCTTTAGATGGTGACGTAGATTTTCAACCCGAGGCTTTAAGGATGTTGGTTGATCGGATGAAGAAAAACCCAAAGGTTGGTGCAGCATGTGGTCGAATTCATCCTATTGGTTCAGGTAAATATCTGTTTCTATAGATTTAAAAAATCACCTTTGTAGGCCAATTTGCTGGTGACCATTGCACCGATATTGGTATATGCCAAGTTCAGTCCCTGTGAATGCCTGAATAATATAACGAGGTGAGCAAGGTCTTATTTTCTCACTAAGGGGGGGGGGGGGGGTGGATGGCGGAATGGTTAGCGTGCGCGCGCTGTATCATACAGTCTGTCATTGAGTCGACTGGCGTGGTTTCGAATCCCCGGTTGTACGTGGCAAGGAGTAGGGGCGCCTGTCCAACCTCGTGGGTTTTCTCCGGGTCCTCCGGTTTCCTCCCACTGCTAAAGACCCCTACGCGCAAGCGAATTATGGAAATAAAATTAAACCATATGTTAGTCCCGAGATGACCTAGTTTGTGTCGAGTGGACGTTAAACCCCATTTCTCTCTCTCTCTCTTTTTCTCACTAAGATATTCAGTTATATTGTTCGGGCGTTCAAAGGGACTGACACGCGACCGTTTAGCAGTAAAAAGTTGCCCAGTAAGATTGACTTAGAAGCGATTAGATTTTCGACACGGATTCAATAGGACAGTTCCTGAACGTACAGGGCGAGTGTAATGAGACCTACGTTCAGAGCTGAACTAATATGTGAGATGCAGTGTAGAGAACCATGGCCATAAAGACACAACGAAAAACGATTTAATTTTAGCTAGTATAAATAAATAAATACAAAAAATAGATAAATAAATAAATATACCAGAACCAATGGCCGCCGCTATCATGAGGATCGGGTTTAGATGAAGAGATGAACTATGGTGTTTTAACCACAATTGAGTCAAGTCGGGGATGGTGACGGGTGCTTAAGACTACAGGGCGTAATGTAAGAAAAACTGATGACAGTGTCAAACATATTAAACACATTGACCTGCCAAGTTTTAAGGTAACTCTTAGATCTTGAGGCCCTAGGCTTCAACCTTCCAAGCATATAGGTAAATCCTGGATCTTGAGACCCTAGGCTTCAGCTTGCCAAGCCTATAGGTAAATCCAGCGCTGACCGCTATAAATGAACGTCAGATGTTTTGTCATCCAGAAAATAAGAAACATAATAAACGAAACGGAAAAGGAGAACACGTTAATAATCTTAGAATAAGTAAGTAAAGGATCCCCTAACCCAAAATAATAACAGAGGCTAGTGTAGATTTAGGCGAGATTTAATGATAACGTTTTGGTCTTTAATCGCCCTTCATCAGATACAATACTGATCAGTCAAGCATCTTCCGATCGTCCAGAAGACAGTTGCCACATAGAATCCTTCCACCTACATCACATCTTAGGTTTTAGCAGCTGTTCACCGGTCTACGGCTTCGAATTAATAATCTTCCATGCAAATGCATAATAGAATTATTTTACAGGACCAATGGTGTGGTATCAGAAGTTTGAGTATGCTGTAAGTCATTGGCTACAAAAAGCTACTGAACACATTATCGGCTGTGTTCTGTGTAGTCCTGGATGTTTCAGTTTGTTCCGTGGTTCAGCTCTGATGGATGACAACGTCATGAAGAAATACACAACTCCACCAACCGAACCTCGCCATTACGTACAATATGACCAGGGTAAGACAATTCAACAATCACAACATCGATGAAAATACTTTATCGAGGCCTCCCCTCGAATGTAATGCCCCATGTCATTAACCATACAAGATTCTCCAATATTATTTCACTTCTCTTTCTAATTTGGGCAGAGCTGTGAGTATTATCTGTTCACTTAAAGGTGTATTATGCGAGGTTTAGGTAAAGAGGTCACTGTTCTTGGTATAATAGTTTGAAAATAGATAATGAAAAATTAATATGTTATGAATACTTTATTCTGAGCGAAGTCATGAGTGTCTGAAGTTTTAACACGACCGTCTCGATTGTCGAGTAGCATTGCTAAGATAATAAACAAATTCTCGATTAATCGTGTCGTCGTTAAATTTTAAATTTCGAAAGGGGTCTATTCCATTCAATATCTAAGCCATCAGATGATAATTTAGATAATTTATGTGTCAAGAGGGTGCTAATCCATTAAATATCTAAGCCATCCAACGGTTTAGAGAGTTGATTATGGGTTTGTCATGTGAACACGTTGAAACTAAAAAAAATGCCGGCAATAGGAAGACTTACTTCTTACTTACTGCATCTGACGCGAGTATCACTATATAGCTTTTTATCGAGGGGTGAAGTCCGAGATTCGGCACACATGAGACAAAGGGAAGATCCCATGTATTTGCTGTGTTAGTACTTGAGGCGGGGTTGGGTGGCCGAATTAATAACGCGTGCGCGTTGCATCATAATTTTTTTGAGGTGGCGTGGTTTCGATTCTCCGCATGTACATGACAAGGAGAATGGCGGTCTGTCCAAACTCGTGGGTTTTCCCCGGGTTCTCCGGTTTCTTCCCACTGTTAGTCCCGATATGACCTAGTTTGTGTCGAGTGAACGCGCTTAACTCTCATCAAGATCAAGAACTCATAAAGTGAAGGTAAATAAATAAATAAACGTAAATTTATAAACGTAAATATGTCATATAAAATATTGGGTCAAGTAGAGATTAAACTGCTAACATACATGTAAGGTACGTAGGGCGCCATATCACTATGTCCACCGGTTCGTTCTTGTCTGGTGGGTTTGGATGGCCGAATGGTTAGCACGCGCGCGCTGTATCATAAGGTCTGTGATTTAGTTAACTGGCGTGGTTTCAATTCCCTAGTTGTACGTGACGAGTAGCTCGTGGGTTTTCTCAGGGTCATCCAGTTTCCTCGAACTGTTAAAGGCCCCTACGCGCAAGCGAATTATTGAAATAAAATTGAACCATGTGCTAATCCCGAAATGACCTAGTTTGTGCCGAGTGGACGTTAAACCCCATTTCTCTCTCTCTTTCTCACTATCTCTCTCTCTCTGGTTGGGATATGATACGTTGTGATCATCTGATATAACTAAGTCTAAAAAGGTCGATCAGATTCACTTGTATACGGTATGTTGACTTTGGGTTGTTTTTTTTTTGAAAATTCTTTCTTTGTTAAATATGTTACGTTTGTAGATAAAACCGTTGTTAACCAATGATCATTTATGAGTTCAAGAGTCAACGATGTAAATCCAAAATGAACAGTTAGTCATCATTATTGGCGTGTCTTATCACTAATCTAAATAACATAACAGTTGAAATCAAATAATATTATTTTAAAGAACACGCCTACTCAGAATAAGGTATTTTTGGTGGGCGTTCGTTAAATTCCTTGACAACAGTATTCGTAAATTGATTGTTAAAAGGTGTAACATCACTCTCTCTTGGTGTGTAATAACTAATCATGTTCCACATGTTGTTATCAGCTGATAATTGTAACTTTCATACAATGATACATACCAATATGTCTCGACGTCATCATTAAACATACATTATGCAAGAGCAAAATCTGCCTATTTCAGGTCTTTCTTTAGGCCTGAAATGGTATCTAAAGTATTAATTAGACATTAATTAACCTATCCAGGCCATAATCAACTCTAGATGGCAGCGCTAGCCTGCGATCTTTAGTGGATTGTAAGCCGATTTACTGCATAACTTTCCTTCTCGATTAAACAATTAATTGGATAATCGAGACTATGCTGTTTATCGTACTGACTTTAGTAATGATGACCGAGGCTTACGGGAATTTCAGTCGCTTAGTTCTCGGTTCACAGTGGATCAATTTGAATGAAATTTTCAGCAAATTGCCTTTACGTTATCTAGTTTTTAACTATTATAGTGAGAACTGCCAACTCGTTACCGAATCTCCCATAATGTATCTTTAATTATAGATTCAGATAAATATAAAATATATTCGGAACGGTTCACTCTGATTGGATTTAAACAATGTCGTTTCTTTTTATTTCTGATATTTTACTACAATAGTAATATAACGAAATTTAGTGATAAAACCAACGGGGATTCCCCTTTGAATTTGATTCTAGACGGAAGAAAACTTGTATATTTTACGATAATAAATGGTCGTGTTAGTAAATCAGCAATATTAAAGACATGCTTTCTAACGCACAATATATGTTTAGTTAAAATCCTGTTGTTCATTCTGAGGAGCTCTATAGGGGGGTTTGATGGCGTGGTTTCGAATCCCCGGTTGTACGTGACAAGGATTAGGGTCGCCTGTCCAACCTCGTGGGTTTTGTCCGGATCCTCCGTTTCCTCCCACTGCTAAAGACCCCTGTGCGCAAGCGAATTATTGAAATAAAAATAAAAACCATATGTTACTCCCGAAATGACCTAGTTTGCGTCGAGTGGACGTTAAACCCCAATTCTCTCTCTCTCTCTCTCTCTCTCTCTCTCTCTCTCTATCTGGGGAGCTCTATAAGAATTTCCCGATGTTGATTCCCCATGTCATGATTTGATTGGTTTCTTGTGAATGAGACTCATTGTCAGCGTCTCCCAATAACTATAACACGATCGCTATCAACGTGCTTACGTCATTCCAACTGACCTTTGACACGTCGGTTTTGTCTTCAGTTGGTAGCGTATCTATTTAATTACTACCAATGACCATAACACAATCATTATCAATGTGCTTACACCATTCCAATTGACCTTTGACACGTGGGTTGTGTCTTCAATTGGAAGCGTATCTATTTAATTACCCCCCATCATTATCAATGTGCTTACGTCATTTATTTGACCTTCTGACACGTAGGTTTTGTCTTCAATTGGTAGCGTATCTATTTAATTACCCCCCATCATTATCGCCATCCACGGGGTTTGACATGACAATGTACTTTCTTCCACATCTTGTAGCAGGTGATTGTCAATATAACTATAATATTATAGGGTCTGTTTATTTTGGTCAGGTGAGGACAGATGGCTGTGTACACTTTTACTACAACAAGGATACCGAGTTGAATATTGTGCGGCCTCCGACTCCTACACGTTCGCCCCAGAAGGATTTTACGAATTCTTTAACCAACGTCGGCGATGGACACCTTCCACAATGGCCAATATTCTTGATTTACTGAAGAACTGGAGAAGCGTAACAAGAAAGAATGAAGACATCTCGTGTCTGTACATACTCTACCAGATGGGACTGATGGCGTCATCAATTGTAACTCCTGGCACCATACTTCTGCTTATTGTTGGAGCTATCACTACAGCTTTTCCTGAACTACCATTGTTCGCTTCCCTAATCCTTAACGTGATACCCGTTGGAGTCTTTGTAATAATGTGTTTTACGGCAAAATCATCTACCCAGGTATAAACAACTATGCATCTACACCCGTGTCATAAAAAAAGACGGCTTTTGGGTTGGGAAGCCGCGGTGGGTCACTAACCAAGAGGTTCGTGGCTCGATCCCGTTGTTGGTCGAGAAAGTGTCCAGGGTCTTTGTCGCTTGTTTTTCTTTTGGCAAAATTTGCAAGACGGAGAGTTTGGAAGGGGACAATGTATAGTTGTTCGCATAAAAAGAAAAACCTAGACCCCATGTAAACTTTGGTGAGTGCGTACAAGAAGCATTGGCAGTTGGTATTTGATATAAGAGTAGGTCGTAGCGCCGCTGTCCGTGCAAAGTCTCCCTCACATCATGCAGTATGGTTTTCACCAGTCGTCATTAGCCCAGTCGGTACGCATAAAACTGTCGCTACATTTCATCAGTAATCAGTAAATCTTGCCACGATTAATGTAAAACTGAATAGTAATTAATACTACCAAATACTACCACATTATTCTGAGAAAAAAAACTAACATTACACACCAACTGACTTTAATACGAAATATCTTGTTTACTTTTCTTTCAGCTAGCGTATGCTGCTATTCTGTCTGTAATCTATAGTTTGGTCATGATGCTGGTTGTCGTTGGTCTCATTAAACAAGCAGCGGAGAATGGTTTCTGCTCAGTCAGCACAATATTCCTCGTGACTGTTATCGGGATATTCTTCATCACCGCAGTACTCCACCCTCAAGAGTTCACCTGCATCCTCCACGGATTCCTCTACTTTTTATCCATACCATCCATGTCTATGCTACTGATGATATACTCCCTAGGTAACTTGCACGTTGTTTCATGGGGAACTAGAGAGTCCAAGAAACCGATGACAACACAGCCTACCCCATCCAAAAAGGCCGAGTCATCAAATCCTCTGATGAAATGGTGGAATAATTTCACCGGTGACGGAATCGGATCCTCGGGTGTGGCATCATCTATGGGTAGTTTGCTGCAGTGCATGTGCTGTTCAAAAACTGTCGTTAACCAAGAAGATTCTAAACTTCAGTCAGTTATAGAACGTTTAGATGCTATGGAAAATAATTCCCAAATTGGAGAAAAAGAACATGTTACAGTACGACCTCCCCAGTCCAATAAGTCGGAGCAGAAATCAACCAAAAAGCGGAAATCCGGCAAATTTAGAATCTCCTGGGCACCAGGTAATGATTATTTTCAAATTTAGTATATTTAACGCTTGGAGATGCACATGGTAATCAAAGACTAATTTTATATATTAACGTGTTCATTGGGTAATGGTCATGCTGATGGTGTTGGTGTTATACATGGTGCTGGCGGGGTGTCGTGCTTGTGTTTGTGTGTGAGGCTTTAGCAATGTAAGCATCTAGTTTTACCTAAAATTGTAAAGTCTTTTTGTCAGACTATCAGAGCATCATGGTTAGTTGAATCGCCACACACAAGTTCGCAAATCGTCAGTATTTATGAAAAGAGTCGTAATCATTAAATATGAACGGCTATATGGCAGTCCAGTCGTGGTTATTTTAGATATATTAATATGCACTTTCCACCCCAATAAGTAGTGAAAAGAATCACCCTAGGACTAATTCGAAAAGTAGCATGAAATAAAATAAAACCAAGTACGAATAATCCAAACCATTAGACAAACTTCGAAATCGTAAAAATTGCATTGGCAAAATAGTGTAATCAGCAAATGGGCTGTTCACCATGTACACCATGTATAAAGGAACTCAATATGTTAAATGAATGAATGTCGTTCTGTATTCCAGATCAAGTAGAGGGATATTTCGTCTCCGTTACCAGCAACGAATCAAATAACCTAACCTGGCTTAAACAGGAAGAAATTGGTGATGGGACTGTGGAAGTTTTGGAGCAGAACGAAATCAATTTTTGGAACGATCTAATAGATACTTACTTATTCCCTCTTGAAAAAGATGAAAAACACGAGCAGAAGATGCAAGAGGATCTGCTAGAACTTAGAAACAAAACTTGTCTGTTCTTCTTTCTGATCAACGGTCTTTTTGTGGTTTTGGTATTCACTCTTGCAATGGTCGCTGAATCTACACCGAGCATTACTTATAAAATCCCTTGCGACAGTGAGAGCTTTAGAGGAGAGTCCATCGAACCGTTATCAGTAACATTTACATTAGTTTTTGGTCTTTTGCTGACCATTCAGTTCTTGTCAATGTTGTTTCATAGATTATCGACATTTTTACATATTGCTGCAAACACACGGTTCCGATCCGGGCGAACGCGTGACGGAGAGCTTGATGCCAACAAGATGACGATTGAAGAAGCTGTGAACCTGGTCAAAGACCTCCAAAGACCTAAAGACGAAGATTCAATCTCAACGACTTCCGAAGATTTTGACATGAGTGACACCGCTTCGCCTGATATCATGGAAGGCAAAGAAAATAGTAAATGGAAGCGACTTGCTAGCAGACGACACATGATAACTAGATTGTCCAATACTCCTAAAAATCTGGATAACAATTTTGCTCTGGAATTTGGGAAGCTTGTTACACAGATTGGTCTTGGTAGAGGAGCTGGTGACGCAAATAACCCTAAAGAACGTGCTGTTGGTTCGACAGTTAAAAACCTGGATAAGAAGTCTCTGTTTGCATTGACCAAAATTGTTCACTCAAATGACCGCTTTAGAAACACAGTAGCCCGGAAAGCGACGATGCTTCAGAAGAATCGAGAACTGTCAAAATCAGTGCAAGGTGACAGCAACACCCAAGAGAAACTGGTTCTTTCCGACAAATTACTTGGGAAAAGTAAAGTGAGACCTGTTCATTCTGAAGGTGGCGAACCCTCTCCAAGTCGAGTTTCATCTATCAATGACGAAAGTCCGTATGAAAACTTTGCATTGCGCATACGAGGGAAGCCCGTTGAAGAAACTGCTTCAACAACGTCCTTGTAAATATCAGTTGAAGAGATAATCGAATGTTTAGCGAGAGCTAATATCATATTGCGGTTGATTAAAATACAGATCTATATTTCGTTTTGGTTTTTTTATACTGTCGATGGCCTACACTACATGAATATCTGACAAGTTGTACTCGAAGGTCGTGTCAGGGATCGAACGAACGGCTTTTGATCCCATGACGTCAGACATTTATTAATCAATCAGCGTTGACGTTTCTAGTGGTTTACCCACAGTTCCGTGCATGGCACGCCAAGAAGTCGCCGTAACAGACCGTTTCATTGGCTTATCCCTTACTTCAATCAAAACGCCGGTAATATAACAACTCTCTACTGTAGTGAAGATCCTGGTGTAGTGAAGACAAGTAAAACGAAATTTTGAACTATAAAAAAACCGAAACGAATTAAGATATATGTTATAGTCAGATTGATATAGCTATATATTTATTCAGTATAATTTCATACTTACTGATAGATAATAGCATATTTCGGGTGCACAACTGCACATAGCTATATATTTAAATTACTAGAGAGAGTTGTGTGCTTACCAAGAGATAACAGCATATTTCGAATGTATATAGCTCTACATCTATTCAGTATCAGTAGTAGAGATAACCTTGTGCTTACCGAGAGATAATAACATTGTGAGTACATGTAGCTATACCAAGTGTTATGTATTAAAATACTTCTAATCCTCAATGCTTAGTTAACATGGCCTTCAAATGAATTGATCGAAGAAATAAACCCGTGTACTTGTGTTAGGTTACATACACATATATGTTTATAAATATCCATTGCCACATTATTAATATAACATGTATTTATTGCTTATTGCTGTATCATTTTTATTATATTTATATTACTGCATCATTAATATAATATGTATTTAACGTTGTATCATTAATATAATATAATATATAATATTTATATTCATGTATCTTTAATATAATATGTATATATTGCTGTATCATTAATATTATGTGTATTTATGAATGTATCATTAATATAATATGTATTTATTGATGCATTATTAATATAATATTTATATTGATGCATCATTAATACAATATTTATATTGATGCATCATTAATACAATATTTATATTGATGCATCATTAATATATTATATCTATATTCATTTATAATGTAAGTAAACTACGGATCAAAATAAACTATACCAGAAATAAATAGACCAAAATCTTAAAGGGTGCCATATTTCTCGCTTAAATGTAGCAATTGTTAAATTTTTAAAACTGAGAGTTTATGTGTCGCATGATATTTATGGATTTAAAAGAATAAAAGTCGCACAACTTTGAACTAAAACGTCATGGACTAAAAGCAAAACTCGGGGCATCACACGGACAGACAATCAGCAATGCGAACTAGCAATTACCATGGTATAAGGTGGCAACATCGCAATTTGCAAGGGTTGTTACTGACTACTGCAGGGATCCCAGCATCTGTGCGGACATTCTTTAAGAAGTCTCTTTCAGTATTTCCTAAATTAACTTGATGCATTTTCCTTTGATGGTTACTTTTTATGCAAATCATCTAACCTGGGCCGGGGATAGAGCTGGGCAAGTCAATAGGGGTTGAGGGGGGCGGGAGCGTGGATTAAGAACAAAGTGTAGGGTCCAGTGCGGCGCAAAGCCCCCTCACCCAAGATCATTTTGAAAAATAGATTAGATTTGGCATCTCGCCACAACATGGATTAGATCGTCTGTGAGATTTAGATTTAAAGATAACGTGCATGGATAATCGAGACTAAGTTTCCATTGTTGAATACCGTTGGTGCATGTTCTCCTACGTCTAAAGACACCTAAGCGTAAGCGAATTATTGAAATAAAATTGAACCTTATGTTTGTCTCGAAATGACCTAGTTTGTATTGAGTGGACGTTTTTAAAATGGCGGAAGTTATACTTTATGTGATTGGAATGTGAGCATGAAAGGGACAAGTTCATCTTCTGGCGATTCGGCTAAAATATGGTGTGGGGTCATCGCTAGCCCCCCTTAACACTTCCAACAAATTTCAAGTCTCTACGAGCACGGGAAGAACTAGGTGTAAGAAAGTACATTAGCACCCATCTCCTTTATTTATTTGTGTCATACATAACCAGGTCCATGTTTGAAATGTGAACAAACAAATGAAATGAAATGGGGTTTAACGTCCTACTGTTCTTCTCAGAATTATGATATCAGCAATTCGTCTTACAAAACTCCTTTTTATTTCTCCATTCTGTTACTGTGCAAATCGATATGCTTCCTAAACAACTCAAATATTTCCACATAACAACGCAAAATACTTATTTCATTATAACTTGTACGATAACTGTTATCTAAGCATGCAGTCAGTCTACAAAAAACGATACGAAAAACTTCCTGGTTAAAAATAATCTAATCTGTGGATTTTTTGTTAATCGGCAGCTCATGCATTAGATAAAACAAAACGTACCCCAACGTCACCTATTCTGATTAGACTAGGAGTATGTCGTTGAGAAAAGAGGACGGTTACTTTTAAGAGTAGGATACTCGGGAATACGAAAAACATCAAAACGCCAACAACACCCGATCTTACAACCAGAAAGATGAATTTCCTACCGAGACGTCCATTGTTTAACTTCAATTTACCCAAAGCAAAGTTTGAAAACAGTGATACGACAGAAGATGATTCATCGGATATTTCGAACCCTCCAGAGGATTATGATACAGAAAATGATATAGATAATTATAAGAACGACAGTGATGTTAATCCCAGTGATTTAGAATATGAACAGAATCGTGAAAATGCAGATGTCGATGCATCGTGAGTATAATATTGGTGATTCACTAGGGGAGAGAGAGAGAGAGAGAGAGAGAGAGAGAGATTGGGTTTAACGTCCACTCGATACGTCCACTGGATATAATCATGAAATGATATTAACGTGGTGTGAGGGAGGGGAGTGTGTG